GGTGGGGGGGGGGGTAGAGTTGGGGGGGGAGGGGGACTTGGGAAGGACATGTTAAAGAAGCTTGTTTATAATTTACATGAAAAAAAAAATAGAAAACAGAGCCAGGCAGAGACCAGCAGCTCTCTGTGAGTTTGAGGCCAGCCTGGTGTACAAAACTAGTTCCAGGACAGCCAGGGCTGTTCCACAGAGAAACCCAGAGTTTCTCTGTATTGTTTTGAAGGCTGTCCTGGAACTCACTCTGTAGACCAGGCTGGTCTTGAACTCACAGAGATCCGATTGCCTTTGCCTCCCGAGTGCTGGGATTAAAGGCATGTGCCACCAACGCCCGGCTGATTTAAACATTTTTAAAAAATATTTATTTATTATGTATACAACATTCTGCCTCCATATATGCCTGCACGCCAGAAGAGGGTACCATATCTCATTACAGACGATTGTGAGCCACCATGTTGTTGCTGGGAATTGAACTCAGGACCTCTGGAAGAACAGCCAGTGCTCTTAACCTCTGAGCCACCTCCCCAGCCCGATTTAAACATTTAAAACATTTTTTTTGTGATTACTAGTGACACAATTAACACAATTATATTTTTTATGAAGTATAAGATGTTATAGGATGATACTTTTCCCCCATCACATTTTTAAGCCTTTTAAATTCCTTTCTTTTGGCCACGAGATGATGACATAGGGGGTGTAGGTGCTGCCTTCAAGTCTGATGACACGGGTTGGATTTGCAGGACCCATATGGTAGGAAGAGAGAACTGATCGTGACTGTTGTCCTCTGACCTCCACACATACATACTTATACACACAAATAAAAATGTAATAAGTGTACATTTATTTAAGTATTATTGCATGAATATATATATGAGATATATTTTCCTGCAGCTTATTTTAAGAAAGCCTCACCATATATAATGTTGCTAGTTTTATTTATATGAAATCTAACCATCATGTTTTATATAATTTTTTATAGATTGAAGTTTCTAAGTGAAAGTTAAATATTTTTAAAACATTTTATTTATATAGTAAATTATATTAAAAATCTGGTCGATTTTAGTTTTATCCATGTTAGCAGTAAAGAAACATAAAAATGCTTAGTGGGAGAGCACTTGCTTGTCATACGTACGTCCCTGCTTCTTTCCGTTACCAGCAAAGGAAAACAAGCTAACATTAAATGTGTTCTAGTCTAATAGCAAAGTCACACAGAGACTGGGCCCTTAACTTAATGATCAAGCTCTGAGCCAGAAGAATATTGATAGTATTGTTTTTTGAGGATGATCACATGTGTTCTCTTGCAGGTGTGAAATTCCTGCTTGTGGCCTTTTGAACCATTGGTGAGCCATATTACAAGTTGAATTTCTAGTATCAATTATATTGTCATTCATTTGACCTTGATTTCTGGCTTTTCTAAGTAATAGATAGTCTCTGACCTCCAAATTGCAAATGGGAATGATTTCAAATGAGCATGTTATGAGTAATTATAATATAGTTGGATCCTAGAGTGACTATATACCCTTTTCAGTCTTTATTTCTAGAGTGACTATATACCCTTTTCAGTCTTTATTTCAACCTGACATTTTTTTAGTAAAAAATGAATTAGTGTGTGTGTGTGTGTGTGTGTGTGTGTGTGTGTGTGTGTGTGTAGCATTATTTCTGTGTTGTCCTTCATGTGAAAATGAGACGATGATGCCCAGGTTTTCCATCAATACTGGTGCCATTCTCGGAATAAAGTCTGAATTGAATAATTAAATGACTTTAACAAAACTTGACTATCAAGGAAAGCAAGTTTTAAAATACTGATTTATTTCTGGGCTGAGATGTAGTTCAATTGTTAGAACACTTGCCTAGCATGCACCAAGCCCTGTATGGCATAAACCAGGTATGGTGGTGCCTGCCTATCATCCCTGTACTCACAGGGGAGAATAAGGGAGGGGACCAGAGTAGCTACATAGTGAATTCCAGGCCAGTGTGGCCTACATGAGACTGTCTTAAAAAACAAACAAACAAAAAACAACAGGTCACCTTGCTTAGTTAAGTCTTTGTTTTTGAACAAGTCTTTGTTATTTGTGAACAAACTCTTGGATTTTAATTGATTTTGTTTATATATAGATAACCTTTGCATAAGAGTTGACTGAATACTGCAAAAATAATGTTCTTCAGCACTGTGAAATTGCCCAGTGGTTGGGCTGTGTTGAGTTTATTCTTGCAAAGTCCTTAAGCTTATTAAAATGTAAACGCCTTTCTTTCCCTTTTGTCACCTTGAAAGGGAAGTGAATAACTTCCTTTCTGTGTGTTTTACATTCATAATTGATAAAACAATTATGTCTTTCTATTTATGAATGCATAGATTTCATTCAAGTTTATGTGGCTTGAATATTAGGAGAGGAACTCAAAACAATTCTGGGATTATACTTGTTAGAGGGGGGATATTAGCCTTAAAGGAAAGAGTAGTGGGTGGGGGCACTAACAGATTAAATAGGCTAAGAGAATTTGAATGTAAGTCTTTTGCTATAATCAGAAAAAGAGTCTTGGAAATAAGTTACAGTTTAGAAATACTCTGCTATTTTATAGCATTAGTAGTTTGAATGTCCAAGTTATGTTAAAAGTTTGATTCTCTGGTTATCTCAGACCTATCTATATATTAGGCTTGGCTTAAGATCAGACTTTTAAAAATTGCAGTAATAACTGCCGGATGACGTTTATTGTAAGATACTGCTCAGAAAGTGATGAAATTTTTTGGCCTAACATTTTAATTAAGCTTAAACTTAAGTATGGGTTTTTTCTCTCTTAATTAATAGGTTGGGGAATGAAACTCAGGATCAGCAAAGACATTCTAATTTACCAAATCCTTTTCACTTGGAAATTTCCCTGGCTTGGATCAAGTTGTATTAGAGTACATTCGCTCTGGGTAGAGATGTTCACATGGAGTGTTTCTTTGTTTCTGAATGTTGTGTGGTGCTCGCTAAGCTGCTCCTGGTGTGGAGAGATGAGATTTACTTACTCCTCCAAGAGGAGTGTTCTTACAATCTGAACCTCAAAGTCCAGTCTATACATAAATATTAGTATTAGGCTATTTTGTCTTTCTACAAGAGAGCTCCTACTGTGGTTTTCTTTTTTTCTCAGACTCAATATTTTATTTTTTTTTAATTAACCTTTGCTTTATATGTATGGGTGTTTTGCCTGCATGTGTGTCTGTGAACCATGTATCTGCTGTTCTTGTGGAGGCTAGAATAGGGTATCATATTACCTGAGACTGGAATTATAAGTGGTTGTAAATTACCATGTGTGTGAATGGAATTGAACCCGGTCTTCTACAGGAGCAACCAATACTCTTAACCACTGAGGAGTCTTTCTACTCTTAGAGTTTCTTTCTGTATTTAAAGACAGGATTTCTCTTTGTTGTCCTTGCTGTCCTGGAACTCTGTAGACCAGGCTGGCCTAGAACTCTGCCTCCCAATTGCTGAGATTAAAGGTGTGCACCACTACTGCCTGCCCACAGTTTATTTCTAAAAACATGCTATTGCAAGACTTCACTTGGTTTTTGTTTGTTTTGTTTTTGTTTTGTTTTGTTTTGTTTTGTTTTTTGGTAGATCTTTTCAGCATAGAACCCAAGGCATCCTGTGGTAGAATATCTAGTGCTGGCAACTGAAAGAGTGGTGTTAGCAAGCTCTAGGGTTTTCTCTAGCAGAGCTACAAGGACAGATGTCTTGAACTGATCCTGGATTCTTCCTTAAGATGATCCTACTTTCACTTCAGTGAATGAATAGTTTGCTTTGACAAGCATTGATTGGTACAATACACATGATTTTGGCTCTTGGTAGAAATAAATATATTGAGTGTTATCTCTCTAGTAGAGTTGTGTTTAGCCTGTGAGAATACAACTGAGTGATTTTCCACAAATATGGTATGTGGATTATATGCTATAGTGAACCAGTTAGAAGTGACCAGGTAGACAAGATGAAGAAAGCCTTTTTAGATACAGGAAGTGAATGAGAATATGGGCATGAATAAGCTGTATGCGGTTAATTGGCTGGTGTGTTAAGTATTGCCCATATAAATCAACTCACAAGGAGCAAAAGCTTATTTTGGATCATGGTTTCAGGGGTTTCAGTCCACAGTCAGCTGTTTCCATTTCTGGCATGTGGTAAGACAGACACTAGGGTGGGGAACCCATGGTCAAAGCTGCTTGCCAAGCTCTGGGTAGGGGCATCTGTGGGCAAGCTTGATCGGCCTGACCTTGGTCTCTATACTCACATGGTGGAAGGAGAGAACTGATGTAAGTTTTCCTCTGACCTTCACATGCAGTGTGGCATGCACGTGTACCCATGCCTGTACACATACAGGTACATGTAAAAATAAATACAGTGCTATAAAATGAGAATGAGTTGTAAGATGGAAGATAAAAAAATGTTTTTCTTTTGAAACAGTCTTTTCTCATGTTATGTGCCAGTCTCATTCTCACTCCCTCCCCTCCTCCTGCACCCCCCAAGACCAGAAATTTTTAAGAAAGAAAAAAAAAGCTGTTCACCTCACAGCAGATGGAGATGATCCTCAAAATTTGCTTCTTCAGGGGCACGACCCCAGTGATCTAACATCCCTACTAGCCCCACCTCCTACAGGTTGTACCACCTGACATTGGGCAACAGACTGGTGACTAAGACTTTTTACATGGGAGCCTTTAAGGGACATTTAAAATCCAAATCATAACAGCTGTCATATCAGGGATGTAGAGTAGATGGTGAAGTAGCTATAAAGTTAGAAAATTTTATACAAAATATCTTTAGGTAAGGTACTGAAATATCAAATTCATATATATGAGAAAAGTAAGTAGCATAGGAACTGAAACAGATTTGAAGATAATGGACATGAAGTTATATTGGGTCAGTCTGGCATTTTGCTTCTCAAACACAGTGTCTTATTAGCTTTATTTAGAGAATGTGTTAAGAATACAGATCTTGGAGCTGTGGACTTGACTCGGTGGTTAAAAGCACTGCTGCTCTTCCAGAGGACCCAGCTTTGATTTTTCACACTCATATGGTGACTCACAACCAGCTGTAACTCCAGTTCCAGGGGATCCTATGCCCTCTTGTGGCCTCTACAGGCACTGAATGCTCATGGTGACAAGACATAAATGCAGGCAAAACGCCAATACACTTAAATAATAATAAAAAAAAATACAAATTTTTCCTGGCATGGCCGCATATGCTTTTAAAATCCCAGCACCTAGGAGGCAGAAGTAAGCAGATCTCTGTGAGTTCAAGGCTAGCCTGTTCTGCATAGTGAGACTCTACATAGTGAGTTCCAGGCCGACTAGGACTACATAGAAAGAACTTGTCAAAAATGAGGGAGGTGGGGGGAGGGAGAAGGAGGGAGAACAAATAACTTTTGGCAGCACCATACATTAAGTTTGTTTTGTTTGTTTGTTTGTTTTTTGAGGCAGGGTCCCACACTGATTTGCCTGGAACCTCACAGAGATCTGCCTTTACCTCCCAAGTATGAGCATACACCACCATGCCCAGCTGCTATATCACTTTTAAAAATTACGTTGTGTGTCTGTATGTGTGTATACACAAATGTTCCATGGCATACAGTTGATAGAGTCAGTTCCCTACTTCCACCATGTGGGTCTCCATCTGTCTAGTCCTGCTATATCACTTTTTACAGCTTGTAATTCACTGCTGAAATTTCAAGCTGATTGTTTCCTCCTTAAAATACAGAAAGTTCATATTTTGCATTATTATGATTCAGTAGAGAGAAATACTTTGAGCTGGAAAATGTGTAATAATCATGTATCTTAGTTAGGGTTTCTATTGCTGTGAAGAGATATCATGACCTTGGCAACCCTTATAAAGGAAAACATGTAACTGAGGTGGCGGCTTACAGTTTCAGAGGTTTAGTCCATTGTCATCATGGCTGGGAGCATGGTGACATGCTAGAGAGTCCTACATCTGGTAGGCAACAGGAAGTCAACTGAGACACTGGGCAGTATCCTGAGCATAGGAAACCTCAAAGCCTGCCCCCACAGTGACACACTTCCTCCAACAAGTCCATACCCACTCTCACAAAGCCACACCCCCTAATAGTGCCACTCCCTATGAGATTATGGGGGCCAATTTCATTCAAACTTCCACATCATATAAAAAGAATTATAGGCTATAATAGTTAAGCACTAGTGAAGGAAACCCCTGACCACTTTAAGTACATTTAATTTTCTTGATATAAATGATCAATTAATGTCTTTTGTGATTGTTGATAATTTTCAAAAGATGTGTGTCTGTGTGTGATGTGTATGTATATTCAGGTGCCTGCAGAGGCCAAAAGAGGTTGTCCCCTGGAGCTAGAGTTAGAGGGGGTTGTGAGCTGTTAACCATAGGTGCTGTAATCTGAGCACTGATATTCTATAAGAACATCAAGTGCTCTTAACTGTTGAAGTCTCTCCAGACTCAGGCTGCTTTTTTTATTTTTAAGAAAAACAGTATGAATCATACAGATAATAAGTGAAGAAACTTATTACTGATCTTTTGTTAATTTCTAGGAATGAATTTCATAAAATTGTAAACATTTCTTTAAAAATGCTCAAATGGGCCTGGTGGTGGCAGCGGTGCACACCTTTAATCTCAGCACTTAGTAGGCAGAGACAGAGGCAGGTAGATCTCTGCCTGTTTGAGACCAGCCTGAGTCCAAAAACTCTTGATGAGGTCTTGAGATCATAGGCCCTGGTTGGAGGTGGGTGCTTAATACAGTTGTTAGCTAAACTGACATAGTATCAAGCTGACTTCTAAATATATGTACTCATACCCATAGAAAAACCCTATCTTGGAGAGGGGGGAAGCTCAAATGGGGAAATATAAATGATTTTACAAAAATATATTAACATCATACCTTTTCATGGGATTATCAGACTTAATGAAATAAAGGATTATTATAAAAACTTTTTTAAGTTAGTATATTTGATGTGATGTATTGGTAACTTGTTAAAAATTAGAGTAAGGAGATGTACTTACTTAAGCCCAGACTTTGTTCTCTTGGAGTTTTTGTCTCTGTAGTAGTTAGAGTCACAGAAGCCTGAAATCTCAAAGTTCCTTGTGTTTAGAATCTCAGTGTCATCCTATAGAGTGTTCTTCTGAGCATCACAGTTGGATAGTCTAATCCTGTCTCAGCATTCCGATCACTCATCTACAGTATAGAAAGTAAGGTTATCTGCTTGTAGATTACTTGAAACTTAGATGCTGCTGCTGAGGGTAATAAAACAAAGATTCCCTAAGACCACCCCTAGTTCATCTAGAGTATTTTTGTTGTTCTTTCTCCTAACACATTTTGGTACTTTTTAGTATATCACATAAATTCATAATTTAGGCTACCCCTGGAAATAAAAAATTATTTTCTTAATATGCTATATCACTTATAGCATAATTCCCTTAATAATACAGGTTTAATAATATATACTGAAAATTAGAAAAATCTCTATATAAATTATATCCTTATTTGCTCTAGGAATATGAAGCACGAACAGGGAGAACCTGTAAAGTACCACCTCAGTCTTCAAGACGTAAGAATTTTGAGTTTGAGCCACTTTCTACCACTGCTTTGATTCTTGAGGACCGACCATCGTAAGTATTTAGCGATCATTAGGTTCATATCATTATTTATACTTAAATTTAGATTTAATTGTTCTCACTATTTCACTTAAAATTGAAGGAATATGGTCTCATTTAGCCCAGGCTGACTTTAAATCTTGTTGTACTTCCCAGTGTTAGAATTATAGGATGCATCACCGTGTATCTTAAAATGAACAGGGAAAAACATATTGTTGATGTTCAGGCTTTATCTGTACAGTGTCACTATGTAGTCCTGGCTGTCCTGGAACTCATTATATGGACCAGGCTGGCCGCAAACTCACAGAGATCCACCTCCTTCTGCCTCCGGAGTGCTGGAATTAAAGGTATGCACCACCACAACAAGCCCTTATATAAAACAAAATCTTCATTCTTTCCAGGAATGATGATGTATACCTGTAGTCCCTTCTATCCAGGAGGCTAAAGTAGAAGCATCACTTGAATTTGTGATCAGGCTGGGAGATTCATGCACACACACACACACACACACACACACACACACACACACACACACACACTTCCGTCTCAGAACTGAACTGTACTACCACCAATAAAATAAACTTGTTTTTTATGTCTGTTTCTATTTCAACACAGTGTTCTTTATCTTATGGCAGTTATTGTAAGGGGAATTACTTTGGTTTTGATGTTTAATATGTATTTAAGATATACCTGTCCTTGCCTTTTATATCGTATACTAGTGAAGGTCAACCAGCTCATTTACTACCATTAAGAATCTATTCTTGGGCTGGAGAGATGGCTCAGTGGTTAAGAGCACTGGCTGCTCTTTGAGAGGACTGAGGTTCAATACTCAGTACCCATATGGCAGCTTACAACTATGTGTAACTGCAGTTCCAGGCTATCTTCTGGCCTGTTGGTGCCTGTGTCCAAAAACACATGAAATCAAAACACCCATACGCAAAGTAGTAATAGTTTGAGGGTAGAGTGTATTTACAATGTGCAAGGCCCCCGGTTCAATCCAAAGCAAAAACCTTACACCCTTAATACAATTTGTTTCTTAATCCCTTTTCTCCTCTCTGAGTCTCCTAGGTATGACTTGGGGTTTTGCTTTTTGTTATTAGTTTTTGTTTTTTTTTTCTCCTAGCATCTTGCCACTTTGCTGGTCTATATCTTGTTGAGCATAGACAATCTGCAGCTAAACAAAGTAGAATGTTTTGTAGATTCTTTCAAAGAAGATGAAAGGCTGGGCTTATACGTGCATTTAGGACAAAAAGTGGTGGCCCTCATACAACTTTTAATTGGATAGAATTGGGAGTGAGAATGATCTGGATGTGATATATGTCTACCCATTGATGGCCATAGTTGATGGGGCTGATCTGTGTGGCTAGGTGGGTGTTTCTTACCCCTCTGCATGTATTGAAAGGTTCCTGCAGGTATTGCCACTGGTGGGAAAGTTGACTATAGAGAGATAATATAATGCCTTTAATTCTAGTATTCAGGAGGCAGAGGCAAGCGGATCTCTGCGAGTTTGGGGCCAGCTTGGTGTACAGGTTGAGTTCTAGGACAGCCAAGGCTATCCTCTCCAAAAAAAGAAAGAAAGAAAGAAAGAAAACTCAGAGCACTGCTAATTTTGAGGGCACTGGGTCAAGTCCTCTCTGGACTGACCCTGTGCTTTATTTTCCTTACACATTTAAACACAGTAGAACTTGTGACCTGTGACCTTTACAGTAAGAATGAGTTCAACTGTCTGATAAACAGAGGTCAAGTCTGGAAGTGTGATAGCATAGGATAGAGTCAATTGATAGAGGAAACCAAAATACATGGACCCTCTTTCATAGGGATGTGTTCTATTCACTTGAGAGACAAAACTCAGGATCAAGGCCCAACTTGCTCAGGATGTTAGGGGATCCAGAAAACTTGACTCATAGAGTAGCAAAAAGATCATTAGGTTGATTGACCACTTTTCACTCCGTCATTCTAGGTGACTATGTGCCACTCTTTTCCTTCCATTGAAGAAAATAGGCCCAAGTAATTGACAATCCTGGTTTCTCCAGTGTTCATTCTAAGCTGTGCTTTCTACACGTGCCCTTCTTAATGCAATGAGTTTTGTCAAAGAGGATGACCTTCCATAACAGAGGAGCTTTTTAGGAACCTGGTAATAGCAGCTGGGAATACTGATTCACAGCTGTTATTCCAGCCCTTGGATGGCCAAGGCAAAAGCATTGCTTTGAGTTGGAGACCAACCTATGCTACATAGTGAGATTTGTGCAACCCTGGGGTATACAGTGAAATCCCTCTTTCATCCTCCTTGTCCCCCCCCTTACAGTTAGTAACGAGACCATGTAAAAGTTTCATTTCAGACTTCCAGGTATAAAAATGAACCAGGCCAATTCCAAGAGTCTTTTCTTAGGGAGTCATTTGCAGGAAAACAAGAATGATTAGATAAACAAGGAAAGAATACTTGGTTGAGAACTTTTAGACTCCTAAGTAGGGAGGTAGCTTGAGTTTCCATTCTAAGCTTCTAAAATTCATCTAAAATAGAACATGCATTTTACAAAGAGTATATTTTTTTTCTCACAAGTAGTTTATACAGTGTTTGGATCCAGCCCTTCACGTCTTATCTTTTATATCTCACATACCTCTTTCCATCATGCTTTATTACCTTTGCTGGTGTTTTCACTGGAATGCTATCTCCTTATTTGTACTCACCATGTTTTTGTTCTAAGTGCTAGGGATGTGTCTTTATATTGAGTCTTTGTTGCCATCTTCACTCTTCCAGTGATACCTATTTCTTTTTATTAATTTTTAACTTGTTTCCCTTATTTATTTTGCTTTATGTGTATGGATATTTTTCCTGTATGTATGTCTGGTGCCTGCTGAGTCCAGAAGGAACTGAATACCCTGGAATTGGAGTTACAATTATGAGCCACCATGTGGGTGCTGGGAACCAAACCAGTGCACTTAACCTTTGAGTGATCTCTGTAGCCTATGTGTCTACTTCTTTAACCCCTTATGACAGCCTGAACAAACAGTTCTTGAAATAATATTATTTGAAATTGACTTGAAATAATATCCTATACATATAATTGTGTGTGATCTCAGTCTGCCAAAATTGTATAAGCATCTGAAAAAGGACTTTTTTGAAGATGGAAGTTTTTCTGTCCCATCCACCTGGACCCTATCCCGGCATCTGCTTCCAAATTACCACATAGAGACTTAGTATAATTTATAAATGCTCGGCCAATAGCTCAAGCTTGTTACTAGCTAACTCTTACATTTAAATTAACCTACATTTCTCTTTATGCTGTGCCATGTGGCTCATGGCTTGTTATCTCATTTTCTATATGTCCTGCTCCCTTGGCAGCTTGCTGACATCTCCCTGCTGTCCCCATCTTCATCCCAGCATCCTCTGTGTGTCCTGGCTGTCCCTTCCTGTCAGCTTTTTATTAACCAATGAGAATAATACATAGTCACAGTGTACAAAAGGATCATTCCATAGCACTTTTCTGTTTTTTCTTTTTTTTTTTTCTTTTGGCTTTTCGAGACACGGTTTCTCTGTGGCTTTGGAGGCTGTCCTGGAACTAGCTCATGTAGACCAGCTGGTTGAGAACTGACAGAGATCTGCCTGCCTCTGCCTCCCGAGTGCTGGGATCAAAGGTGTGCGCCACCACCTCCCAGCTCTGCTTTTTATTCTATTGATCTAAAATTAATATAGTAATTAATTAGAATAACTATTGGAGCTTTTCCCCCCATGTGTCTGGTCATTTGTAATCTAGAGATTACAAGTGATCTCTGTTCCATTCAACTCTGAGTTGCTATAATGAATTCTTCTTAAATTTGAGTGGAGTTGTTTTAGAAGAAAAATGATTTGTGTGTGTGACTTACATAATTGTAATTTAAACCAACAGTGTCTTTAGAAGGTGCTTGAATGTGGGGATGCTTAGTCACTCATTACTTCTCTTCTCTTCAATAAGTAGCCTTATCGGGTGGCTACAACTACCTGAAACTCCAGTTCCAGAGACTCTGAGACCCTCTTGCTTCTGTGCACACCTGCATGCATATGGTGTACATAAACTCAGACATACAGACATAGAAAAATAAGTCGTAGATAAAAGAGAACAGAATTTCCTCTTTAGCATGGAAGTGATGTTGGAAACTTCCTCCTGCATAAACAAAAGTAGTAATGTCAGGAGTTTCTTCTCTAAAGGAAACCTGTGCTTGGTTCTCCCTTTTCCTCTCTTGTTTCCATAATTTTAGATGCATCTGGAATCACTGAGTGCATATGGTTCTTCTTACTTCACAGATTTCTGTGGTTGAAACTTTTCTTTACAAATGGAGCAATGATACCATTTCATCATTTGAAATCTCATTTAGAAGGTTTCAACTATATTACTTACTGTAAATTCATCCTTTATTTTATATATTCCTTTTACTCTACTAATCAAGAAAAAATAAAAAATAACTAAAAAAATAAAATAAAATAACTAAAAATCAAGAAATCCACAGAGAAACCTTGTCTTGAAAAAACAAAACCAAGAAATCAAGATACCTTTAAGGAATATGATGTATCCAGGTACACCAATAAGTTGGTGTGCATCTCTTCAATTTGTTAAAGAAAAAAAAAAGAACAACTGATACTTAATAACACTTTTAAAAAACTATCAGTGGATAGAATTGCTTCCATTTTTCTTGTAGAAACTTCTTTAACAACTTCAACAACAGCTTCTTTAAGATAGGGTCTCACTACCTGGCTCAAGCTGATTTAGGATTTGTAATCCTTTTGCCTCAGTTCCCCAGTGCTGGGGCAACATGTGCACCAATACCAAATCGAATAATGGAAATTCTGAAAGGTACTAGTGAAAGGTTGTTGTTGTTTTCTTTCCGGCCAGGTCCCACCTAGCTTCAACCCCAAATAAGTACACAGAGACATATATTAGTTTATAAACTGTTGCCAGATGGCTGGGGCTTCTTATTGGCTAGCTCTGTCTTAATTATTAACACATTTCTATAAATCTGTGCATTTCCACATGGTCTTGGCTTACGGAGAACGCCTGAACCTGTTACTCCTTTGGCAGCTACTCCAGCACCTCTTCCTCTCCCCCAGCATTCTTCTCATCTCCTAGCCCTGCCTATCTTCATGCCTCTACTGGCTATTGGTCAAACAGTTTTTTATTCATCAACCAATAAGAGAAACTTATATACAGAAGGACATCCCCCAACAAAAGCTGGCTATGGTGGTTTGGGTAAGAACTGCTCTAAGAGGCTCATTGTCTTCGTATTCTATTGCTGTGAAGAGACACCATGACCAAGGCATCGATTATAAAACAGAACATTTAATTGGGGGCTTGCTTACAGTTTCAGAGGTCTAGTCCTTTTTTTTTTTTTTTTCTTCTGAGAAGGGTTTTTCTGTGTACCCTTGGCTCTTCTGAAGACTAGACTGGATTCGAACTCAGAGATCCGCCTATCATCCTGAGTGCTGGGATTAAAGGTGTATGTTACCACCTCCCGGCAGGTTTAGTTCATTTTCATCATTGGCAAGGAGCATGGCAGCATACAGGCAGACATAGTACTGGAAGAGAAGCTGAGAGGTTTTTGTTTTGTTTTGCTTTTTTCTGGTTTTTCAAGACAGGCTTTCTCTGTAGCGTTAGCTGGCCTGGAACTCATAGAGATCCACCTGTCTCTGCTCCTGAGTGCTGGAATTAAAGGCATCTGCCACCACCACCTGGCTGAGAAGGTGAGAGTCCTTCATCCAGATGCACAGGCAGCAGGGAGAAACATTGGGACTAGCTTGGGCTTTTGAAACCTGAAGCCCTGTCCCCCCACCTCCAGTGATACACTTCCCAACAAGGCCACACCTTCTGGTCCCCTCAAGTAGTGCATTTAAATATATGAGCCTACAAGGGCCATTCTCATTCAAACCACTATACTCATATAGATGTGGCCTTGTTGGAGGAAGTATGTCATTGGGTGGGGGACTTTTGAGGTTTCAAAAGCCCATTCCAGGCCCAGTCTCTCCTGCGGATCAGGATATAGCTCTCAGCTACTGCCTCAGCACCCTCCATCCTTTATTTCTTCTGACAGATGTAAAAATTAGTGAAGTTTTAGAAAGAAAAACCCACCCTAATATGTGGTGATATATTACTTATGATTTATTAAAGGTTGCCTGAGGATTCAGAAAGCAAAGCCAGTCACAAGCTATAGAGGTCAAGTAGTGGTGGTGCACACCTTTCCTCCCAGCAGCCACACTAGTTAGCCATGGAGAGGTATGTAAGACAGGTGCCTAGGGTCTCCGTCTCTCTTCAGTCTTCAGTCACCTTGAGAACAGGATTGCCCTAGCCTTGGTAGAGGTGAGAACTCTGTAGTGGTTGGCTGCTTTGCTTTTCTGGTCTTCATGTTGAACCCCAGTATCTGTCTCTGGGTTTTTATTATTCCTGCTACATACTTTAATATTTTTTTCATTCCTATTTCCTTCAGTTGGATTATGATGTGCTTTGATGTTCTTTTCATGTTCCTTTCTGGGTTTGTCTTTGCATGTGTAGTCTTATAATTACAAAAAATTTAGAATGTGTTGTTCTTTTCCCTCTCTTCTTCCTCAAGTGTAAGTTAAACATACTTTATGTTACTTGATAGTACTTCATGACCCATAGCTGTTTTAGGCTGGGCCTCCCTGTCCCGCCCCCTGCGTTTCTTCAGCTTTGGCTTGATCCTTCAGATCTACTCTTTGTCTTAGATTCTCCTCCTGCTCCTCAGCTCAGAAGATTGGAGACTGGTGGCATCAGTTCCTGCATTCCCTTCTCCTGCAGAGATCGGGAAACTCCAGGCAGTAATAACAGAAGTTTTAGGGCTATAATAGTTGTTTCCTCATGAAGATCACTGTCTCTTGCTACAGGTCTTGAATTGTTGTTTATCGTATCTTCCAGTTATTTAAGACAAGAGGGTAAATTGCTGGGGAGTATGCAGGTTGGTGGTGGTGGCAGTTATGACACCTTCAATCCCAGCTGCAAAGGTCGGCTGCTCTCTGTGAGTTTCAGGCCAGCCTGGTCTGCAGAGCGAGTTCCAGGACAGCCATGGAGGTTAAATCCTGTTGCAAAAACAAAAACAAAAAAACAGGAGTTCGTCGTATTCTGTTATGGTCTAAGCAGAAGTCTCACACTTTATTCCTCCTTGCTCCAATGTCCTGGAATAATCTGGTTAACTTGAGAAGGGAGTGGTGGTAGACCTTGGAATTTGAACATTTATCATTCACACACCTTGTTTATTATTGTTGTGTGCACATTGTGCAAGGCGAGTGTGTGCTGTGGCACATGTGGGGAGCTCACAGGTGAACTTTGAGGACCGGTTTCTCTTCTTCCACTGTGAGTTCTGGGCATTGAACTCAGGTTGCCAGGCTTAAGTGGCAAGCACTTTCCCCACGGACCCATCTCGCCAACCCTACAAGTGGATTTCTTTTGGGTTATCATACATCTAGTCACTAACTTTGTAAAGCCATTGATTGGATGAAACAAAATGCAATACATGTAACGGGTTAATTCTCAAATTTGTACGGAGATTGTTATTTTAAGATTCTAATAAGAGGAAACCAGTTTGATAGTTTGTTACAGAGGTACACTTGTACTTACCAAGGACTCAAGAATTCTACTTCTCAGTATTTACTTGAGGGAAATGGAAGTAGATGCCCAATGAATTGACATTAGGTTTTTGTGAATTTTTTTTTCAAGACAGGGTTACTCTGTCTTGAAAAAACCAGCCTACATTAGTTCTTTATGCTAGTTTTATTCATAAAAGCTTTATACTGGAAAGAACCACCCAAATGTACATCTGTCTGAATAAATACATGAAAGAATTCTTAGTAGTTACAAGAAAAGCTTTTATATACATCACAGACAATTTCAAAAGTAGATTGAACAAAAAAAAAAAAAAGAATTAGATACAAAGTTAAGCATGCTGGCACATGCCTCCCATCCTAGCTTTCAGGAGCCTGAGGCAAGAGGATTGAGAGTGCAAGGCAGACCAGGTGCAAAAAAGAAATTTGACACCAGAAAATGTAATGGTTAGCTAGGGGGTGTTGGTGCACATCTTTAAGCCCAGCACTCAGGAGGCAGAGATGGGCAGATCTCTATGAGTTCAAGACCAGCCTGGTCTACAGAGTGAGTTCCAGGACAGCCAGGGCTATATAGAGAAACCCTGCCTTGAAAAAACAAAAACAAAAAGAAAGAAAGAAAATTTAATGGCAATAAACTAGTATGTAGTAATAGAATGAAATGAAATTAAATGAAAGATGAGATTTTATAAGATGAGATGTAGGTTTAATATTGGGTATATATAAGTCCTGGGAAAAAATTTTTTATATATTTTGCTTGGTATGTTGGCTGTAGAGATTATATATTTGTCAAAAATCATCAAATCATTCTGTTCTTTTTATTTTAAGACTTAAAAAAGGATTTATGTATGTGTGTGAATGTTTGCCTTCATTTTCTCTAAATGTGTGTAGGTACCCATGTAGGTCAAAAGAGGGCACTGATCTCTGGTACTGAAGTTACAGATGAGCCATCTTATAGATGCTAAAAACTGATTCCCAGTCTTCTGCAAGAGCAGCCACTGCTCCAAACTGCTGAGCTTTCTTTCCAGCCTCCCATCTACTGTTTGTTTGTTTGTTTGTTTGTTTGTTTGTTTGTTTCTAAGGCAGGGCTTCACTGTGTAGCCCTGGCTGTCCTGGAACTCACTATGTAGGTGAGGCTGGCCTGGTTCTCACAGAGCTCTGCCTACCTCTGCCTCCCTAGTTAGGATGTGTGCCACTATGCCTGTTTCCCATGCTACTATTTTAAAAACAATTTTTGATTTGTCTTTTAGTGCAGGGTCTCACACTGTAGTTCATGTTGGTCAGGAACTCACGGTATAGCCCAGACTAGCCTCAGATTCACATCAGTCCTGCGTCAGCCTCCCCAAGTGTTGGGATTATAAGCATGAGTCACTGCACCCTGTCTCTTGTAAAACTATTCTTAAACTATGGATAATTCTTAAGTTGTATGTCAAAAGGGTTTATATAAAACAAAGAGAACTCTAGGAAGTGGGTATAACAAATAATCTAAATTACATCGCCTAAGATCTGAAATGTTTAAATATCTAAACATGAATCAATCAGATGTCTCAGTGTATAAAACTATTAAGTTTGAGACCTGAATTCTGGTCTGAAGAGATGGCTCAGCCGTTAAAGGCTAGGCTCATAACCAAAAATATAAGAGTTTGGTTCCCAGAGAACCTGAATTCTGACTCTAGGACCCATACAGTGGAAGACAAGAAGCAGTTCCTGCAAGTTTCCCTTTGACCTCCATACACAGGCCTCCCTGCCCCCCACTTACACATACACACAAGCGCACGCATGTGCACAGACAGACAGACAGACAGACAGACAGACAGACAGACAGACAATAAATAACGCAGTACAACTTTTTAAAATTAAGTAAATATGGGGCTAAAGAGATCAGTGATTAGAGTATTTGCTGTTTTTTCAGAGGAACTGGGTTCAGTTCCCAGCACCCACATGGGCAGCTCACAGCTATCCATAGCCCCAGCTTCAGGGGGTCTAACACCTTCTTCTGGCTCTGCAAGCACCTGCACACATGAGACACAAATACATAAACTCAGGTTCACATATATACTTGAAATAAATCTTAAAAATGAATGTATATCTGTATATATAAACATGATTTATTACTGTCTATATATACAAAAATATTAGGAATCTGAAATCTGAGTTTGTTTTGAAATGCAGAGCTTCTTTTTGCCTTTCATTTACCTTTTCTTTGTTGGTGAGACAGGGTAGGACCAGGCCGACCTCACATTGTGCCTCCTGAGTACTGGGATTAAAGACCTGCGCTGCCATGTCCACTCATTTGTGTTATCTATGAAAATTACTTTAGGTGACTTTTTTTTGTATCTGGTTCTAAAAAGGTAGTAAGTTTAAGTTGTTTAAATTTGTCCCTTTTTTTAAAAAAAAAAAATTACAGGAATCTTCCTGCGAAGTCTGTGGAAGAAGCTTTACGTCACAGGCAAGAATATGATGAGATGGTGGCTGAAGCTAAAAAACGAGGTATATTTGGCTTACAATTCTGTAGTTAATTTGCATATTTTTAACTATTTAATTTTATTATGAAGATAACTATTTTTCTCTAGCACTTTTTATATAATTTAGGTTTATTTGGGGGTTTTATGTTTGTTTTGGCTTAGGGGTTTTGTTTGTTTTGTTTTTTAATTTTTATTTGAGACAGCATCTCACTATGAAGCCACTGTGGTCTTAGGCTCATCATGTATTTCAGGACCCAGTTTCTCTAGTTCTGGGATTATATGTGAGAGTCACCGTGTCCAGATCTGGTTTCTTTTTTTAAAAGAGTGTTATAAAGATATTATTTGTGAGCTTATTCCTCTTATTCCTGTTGTTTCATTTTTATAGTGTTTAGACTTTCATCCTTTTACACTATATCATTTTCTCAAAATGACAGTCATTTTTCCAGTGTTACTTAAAGTTTTCTATATTGTTGTGAGAATATTATTTGAAGCTAAAATTTGCTTTTATAATTAATTAGTAAAGTCCATCTAAAGTCTCAGTGTTGCCATTTGGTTAGGAAATAAATACTCTCATTTTTTATTCATTTTTTTTCTCTTCCAGCTCTCCCTACCCACTATATATAAGTGTACTTTAACAGTGTATATAATATGTGTTGTCAATCATTAGTTAAGGATACTCATTTTTTACAACTATGTATTTCTAATATATATATATATATATATATATATATAATATTTTTTATGTTTTAAGACAAAATTTTTTAACTTATTTTTTTATTTAGCTTAAGTGAATGGAATTAATTAAGGGAATAATAGCATATAGTTCAGCTTTATGCTACTGCTGCTTTGGAAGTCAAGTTTTGTCTTTAATGTTAGAGTAAACAATGTATGTAAGCCCAGTTACTTACATAGTCTTCTAAAATGCCTAGTTACTTGAACATTGGTTGACTTTATCTTAATATATAGAATTAAAAATATTTCTTAAGTTTGAGGCCAGCCTGGTCTACAGAGCAAGTTCCAGGACAGCCAGGGCTACACAGAAAAACACTCCTTGTCTTGAACACACACACACACACACACACACACACACACACACACACATACAGAGCCAGTAAGCTTTTATTTACTACGGGTTACCTTAACTTTACTGTTTTGACTAATATTATTGAGAAGTAGATGGTACATTTTATAACAGAAATAATAATAAATTAGAAAATCAAATTGCTTTAGGCTTAATTCTATTTTATGTGATCTCTAGTTGTGATACTCTGAATAGGCCATCTGTTTCCTTATCTATAAAATTGGAAGCAGGTGACTAGGTTGGATTTTCAACCTCTCATTTAAAACTTCTTTCTTAAAGACATCATTACATACATTCTGAGTACATAAAACATACATGTGGAGCCAGTGCTTGGTTTCTTGCTTGCCTCTCGAGATAGTTTCTGAGTCACACATGAAATGCAATTTGAAAATATGTTGACTAGCTGATCTCCTACAAGTTCTTGCTAGTTATATTTTTTTTTATAACTTTTGAGTTTTTTTTGAGACTGGGTTTCTCTGTGCAGCTCTGGCTGTCCTGAAACTTGCCCTGTAGACCATGCTTGCCTCAAACTCACAGAGATCTGTCTGCTTCTGCCTCCCGAGTGGTGGGATTAAAGGCACATACCACCATTGCCCTGCTTTTGTTCCAGAATTGTAACCTCTAAATTCAGAGTTGTTGAGAAATTTTATTATGATATAATTATTAAAATAAAACACCATGCTAAAAGGTGTTTAATAGTAATAGTGCCATTGGCAAAATAATTTTTAATGTCGTATTTTTTATGTTGAGATTAATAAATTCTTTGCATGAAAAATGTCTGTTGGTTAGTTGCTTACAGCTTTTTAATATAATTATTTCATCAACAGATTTTACTTTGGTAGATTAAGTAAACAGAAATATGTGTATGTATTATCAGCCAGGCATAGTGCTACACCCCTGTATTCCCAGCCCTCTGGAGGCAGTGCTAGAAGGATGAAGTACATGTGAGGACAGTCTGGTATACATAATGAATTCCAGGCTATCCAGAAAGAGACCCTGTCTTAAGACACCCTGAGGATGTAAATAAGTTGGGAGAGTGCCTGCCTCGTGTGGGCAAAGTCCTGAGTAGAGCCTCAATATTGCATAAACCAGGAGTGGCAGCATACACCTGTAACCCCAGCACTGGGAAGGTAGAAGCAGGAATATCAGGAATTCAGGGTTATCCTGGCTTCATAACAAGTTTGAAGTCAGCCTGGGCTACTTAAGACCCTATCTTAAAATTTATTAAAGGCTATAGAAGAGAAAAAATGGCAAAGAAAGATGTAGAACAGCTAGGCAGCATGGACAGCCTCGAGGAACTTTGTCTCAATGAAAACAAAGAAAAAAAGAAAAAAAACTAACCAGAAAGAAGTAACAACAATTTACTAGTCATTTTTAAAAAATTATTTTTGCCCTTTATCTCATACTTTTGTAAGAAGATCATACTTTAAAATGATGTTAGACAAGGCTTTTTTTGTTTTTCATCTTTTTCTCCCCTTTTCTTCCTCTCTACTAGCAGAAGATTCCTCTTGAAGGAGCCTTTTTATAGACTTAGGTACAAAGAAAGGGATTTTGATCTAGCTCATTTGTATTGAAATAATTCTTACTTGTTCAAAACAGAAATTAAAGAAGCACATAAAAGAAAAAGAATAATGAGAGAACGATTTAAGCAGGAAGAAAGCATTGCGAGTGCAATGGTAATTTGGATCAATGAGATACTGCCCAATTGGGAAGTAATGTAAGTAAGCAGATTTTCCACAAGTTTAGTGTGTCTCCAAATATTTCATCTTTTCCAAGTCTATATTATCATTTTTCAGCATGTATCTTATGCTGTGGCTAAATTTTACTATTAACATATTGCCTGAAACTCCTCATGTTTCTCTGCTCCTTCATGAACTCCTGTCTGTAATGCATACTTTTCTTACTGACCGTCCTCTGTGCTGTCACAATCGTACGTGTCCTCTGGAACCATGGAATATGAGCTGACTCAGGAAACTTTAGTCTTCTGAATTACCACTGGTCTCAACTCTAATGTAACACTAATTGTAAACGATTCGTTATTGGAGCTCACTAAATAGAACAATATATTATAAGGTACATTTATCAGATGTTAAAAGTGTTTCTAAGGTTGAGTTTTATGTACATGCCTGTAATCCCAGCAATCTGGATGCTGACACAGGAGGATTGCCATGAATTCAGTGCTAGCCTGGATAATATAGTGAGTTCCAGACCAGCCAGAACTACCTAGAGATATAGCATCTGTAAATAAATACATATATAAGAAAATGAAAATAATAAAAGTTATTTTTAAATACTGTTCTCTTAATTAAGAAAATATATGAATTATCTTTCCCCTCTAAAACTCCTGTGGTACTTTAGGGGTGAAGCACCCACCCCACCCCCACCCCCCGAAGTTTTCTTTTTTGACAATATTTCTACGTATGTTTTATCTTCCCTTTGGACTAAAGGGTTGAAGGATACCTTCTACAATGTATGTAGGATGTACATTGACAATTTGTTAAATATTGGAAATGTGACAGACATAGGACACAGTAGTCCCACTCATCTTTGTGAAATCTTGGTTGCCTGTGGTCTAAAAATGGAAAATTAACTAAATAAATATAAATAGAAAACTCTAGAAATTAAAACTCAGAAGTTTTAAATTGTGTGTTCTTCTGAGAAGTGCAATGAAATCTATCCTGCTATACTTTGTCCTGGCCATAAATTACCCTTTGTCCAGCCTCTTTGTGCAGCATTCATGACCGGTGAGTTCCTCACTCAGTGACATTTGAGTTACCAGAGCTGCTGTCATATATCAAAAGCTTCTGTTAAGTAATTTTTCTTTTACTTACGAAAGATTAGGGATGCTGGTGATGACATTTGTCAAAGAGAAGCTGTGAAATACTTCTTTAAGAAGAAAAACTAGCAGTATCCTATTTTGGGTGAGAAAGAGAAGCAATCTTTACATGACATTTATTATATGCTTTTATTGTTAGCTATTGTTAATCTCTTATTGTCTCCACATTATAAATTCAATTTTAACTTAGTTATATTTGTGTAAGAAAAATCTATAGAGTTTTGTACTATTTGTGGTTTTGGAGTTTACAATGTATTTCCTGCAGATAAAGCAATTATTATATTATCGATGTTCAGTAGTTACAGTTGAGTCTTAGTGCTTCTATTGGGCATTTATATTTTTGCTCACATTTATCTTACTCAAGGTTGGAGAAGCTAAGTGATTTGCTCAAGGTTATACAAAAAGGGGGTGAACTAGATTTGAACCCAGGTCTGATGTCAAACCCTGTATTCTTTTAGTGAACTGCTGCTTCCTAAACACTAGGGCCTTAACCAGGCCTTACCCATAGTAGGTTCTTTGTGATTTTAGTTTTGGTACTGAATTGGCAGTCCATTTTATGTCTTTTTTATATTTAATATTTTCCGCATGGTTCCGATTTTCTGATTACATCTTTGGTGTAAGCAACATCTGGGAGAGGCTATTCCCTTTAATTGCTGTTAGTCCATCTTAGAGGGCTGTTATAGCCCACAGGCATGAACTCAAAGGAAGAGTGCATTATACACTTAGCACCTTAAATTCTTAAAGTCATCTGATCACTTGGCCGTAGGTAAACCATCATGCAACTAGTATTTTTGGCATAAAAAGTAACATTTTCCTTTTCTCTCATCCTTTAATTCTAGGCGGAGTACAAGAAGAGTTCGAGAATTATGGTGGCAGGGATTGCCCCCTAGTGTCCGTGGGAAAGTTTGGAGTCTAGCTGTAGGAAATGAACTAAATATCACTCCTGGTTTGTATTCTATATTCAGTTATTCCCACACATACAAATTATCATCTCCAGAGTTTTATAAATCATCTTAGTAGAGTTGCCATTTAAAAGACGCTACCATATATGCCACTTTCAGATCATGCTTCACGGCCTTGCAAACTTTGTAATAGTTAATGAGTTTTTATATGTATATATATGTAAGATTTTTGGGCTTTTTCCTTTAGTTTACTGCTACCACAGTAATATTTTGGCATCCAAATACTACAAATGTAGGTGATACAAAGCTTGTGAGAGTCTGTGCAGTGAAGAGTGCACACAGGAAACACTAGTCTAGGGCCTGAATTGATGGACTTCCTCTGTGTTCAGACAATAAACAATGTACTGAGGGAACTTGGTTTCATTTTTTTTTCTGCTGAATGTCTATCCAAACCAGCCTTTTTATTTGGAATTTGGGGGGGGGGGGTTTCCTTAATTTTTTAAGCTAACAAAGTAATGGGTTTCACTAAGCAGTTTTTTTTTGTGTTATGTTGTTTCGATTTTATTTTAAAGCTTAGCTAGGTCTGTAGTCCTAGCACTTGGGAGGCTGCAACAGCTTTGCTTCAGTTTTGAGGTATCTGGGGCTACATATTAAGTTGTAGGCCAGACTAGGCTGTAGTGTCTATAGAACCTGAATCAGAAAACCTAATAATAACGATAATTATGATGATGATGATGATGATTAAGTTTAGAAAAAGAAGAGATTGTCAAGGAATTTCCTCAAGTCTCTTAAAACCTTGACAAATATTAAAATGCTAGAGTAGTTTTGATGACTTAAAGAAAAAAATTTAAATAAAATTAGGATAATATCAAATAAAATAATTTTTTAAAAAGTAGGCATGACGCATGTCTGTGATCCGACCAATGTAATGTTAGCAAACGAGACAGAAAGAGGAGGATCAGAAGTCCAGGGTCGTTCTGTGCTACATAGCTGAAGGGCTACATGACATTGACTCCAAAACTTTTTTCTAACAAAATAGGTGCCTGAGTGTCAGTGTTAATACTAGATGGTTAGACATACGGCAGGAGACTTTGATCTCTAGTAGTAGAAGTAATCTATTGTATGTCTGGGGATGTAATTCTGTAAAGTGCTTATCTAGCATGAACGTGGCTCTGGGCTTGGTCCCCAGCACTGCATGATACAGGCATACCTAAAATCCTAGCATTCTAGAGGTGGAGACAGTAGGACCACAAACTCTAAGGTTATCCTCAGCTACTTAATGAGTTCAGGACCAGCTTGGGCTACATGAAACATTTTTTCAATTAAAAGAAAAGAAGGAATAAAATATGTTATCGCTGTTATCTTTTAAGTACACAATTAATATTTATTGGAAAATATAAGCAATAATATAAATTTTGCCACCCAAATTTTTTTTGGTTTTTCGAGACAGGGTTTCTCTGTGTAACAGGCCTGGCTGTCCTGGAACTTACTCTGTAGACCAGGCTGGCCTCGAACTGACAAAGATTCACCTGGCTCTGCCTTCTGAGTGCTGGGATAAAAGGTGCGCGCCACCACTGCCCAGCCCAAGCTATTGTTGATCTTACTGTTATACTGTTGGTACAGTATATAATGATTTTCACTGTGCTGGCCAAATCAACAAACATGCTAATGCACTATCAAAACACTTGTTTTTATTTTCAGAGTCTAAGATGTTCAAGTGAAGTGAAATACAAGATATGACTGAAAGTAATTTAGAAATATTTCCAAAATATCTAAAAAATAAAACCTTTTAGGGCCACTGAGATAGCTCAAGTCAAAGCATGTACAGTGAAAGCCTGATGACCTGTGTTTGACCCTTGGGACCCATGGAAGGTGGAAGGAGAGCCCACTCCACACAGCTGTCCTCTGTCCACACATGCCCAGGACACATGTTGCCCCAATAACAGTGACTACATTTTAATTAAAAAAGAAATCATTGATCTATTTATTTCAGTTCTAAGAGTCTACTAGAAGGAAATACATAGGATTGGGTTCAAAAGTTTTTTGACAAGGATTTTATTGCTGTAATTAACATTAATATAAAATTGGATAAAATCATAAAAATCCAAATGCCTAGGTTTTTGTTGTTGTTTGTCCTGGAGCTAGCTCTGTAGACCAAGCTGACGTTGAATTCACAGAGATCCACCTGCCTCTGCCTCCCGAGTGCTGGGATTAAAGGCATGTCACCACCATCACCTGGCCAAGTGCCCATTTTTAATCATTAAAATGATATTAACTGTAAATATTACAGTTACTTGATTTTTTAAAAGTTGTTTTTCACCATAAGCAGGAGGATTTTTGAGTTTGAGGTGAACCTAGTCTATATAGCAAGTTCCAGGCTAGCCAGGGGCCACAGAGTGAGACCCTATCTCAAAAAAAAAACCAAAAAAACAAAACAAACAAAACCCAACATTTAAAAAAAATTTTTCCAAGTACCATATAATGAACATTTAAAAAGTAGAATTGGAGTTTATTAAGCTATTTTAATGTAGAGTAAGCACTAACTAGGTCAGAGAAAGGTGCTAAGGAAGAAAGTTAACAGGCACTCAAGAACATAGGTGAGTGCTTTTCAAGGGGCCACAAAGCGTGCTCTATTTACTTTGAGAAACAGAAAACTTGCTGGGCGGTGGTGGTGCATGCCTTTAATACCAGCGTTCGGGAGGCAGGGGCAGGCAGATCTCTGTGAGTTTGAGGCCTTCTTGGTCTACAGAGCGAGTTCCAGGACAGCCAGGGCTGTTACACAGAGAAACCCTGTCTCATAAAACAAAATAAGAGGGGGCTGGAGAGATGTCTCAGAGATTAAGAGCACTGGCTGCTCTTCCACAGGTCCTGAGTTCAATTCCCAGCAACCACATGATGGCTCACAAGCATCCAAAATGAGATCTGGTGCCCTCTTCTGGTCTGCAGGGACACAGGCAGATAGAACACTGTATACATAATAAATAAATAAATCTTAAAAAAAAAAAAAA